CTCTTGGTACGATCCATGCAAGTTAAAACTCTTCTACTAATTTAGTTCTTATTTTACTTCTTTTCAGCTGCTCTCATACTTCGCCTTTTCTATAGATCATTCTCTATTACAGTCTTGCTAATTCAAATATGCTTTCTTTCCAAGTGGCGAGTTCTCACCGATGATTCCCACTCCTATTCGTCATCTAATACCCTGTCTGTGCTTACAACAAAGTGATAAAGAAAGACCGCAAGCTGACCTGACCGTTTTAGTATATGTAAATTTTCAAATATTTCACCTAATATTTGGTATACTCTGAAGCAATAATAAATGGACACAATTATAAATGTGGCTGATTGTCTACTGCGCCTGCTCAGCCGGTCTTTTCAATTTTGTTTGGTGATTAAAAATCTAAATTTACCCAAAAAAAGTTGGATAAATTTTCCTCAGCATGTGCTCTCCTTCCTCTTTCTGTGCTCGAATGTTCTTTGCCCTCATCGCCTAATTTGCATGACTGTCAGACTAAGCCGCCTCTGCTGCTCAATCACATTGTGTGACGTGGAAGCGTAATCCACTAACAGTGATTTTCCTCTGTTTTAGTTAGTTCCTACCTACTACCTTCAGTTGAGGACAGTTCTGGTGGTTCTTTGCTACATTTTATATCAGCCGATGAAGGTGATGGGAGGAAGGCTTCTTCTGAACCGGATAAAAGCAAAAATGCACCTCGTGCTTCTTTCAGGAAGCATGCGAAGGGAAGATCTGGTCGAGTTTATTGGATAACTTAGTACTATTTCCCGGCATGGCGTTATTTTCGATGTCCATTCTGCTGATGCAAATGGTGCCAACGATTATCAAAGGCTCGGTGATTTTTTAAAACAATGTTTTTTAAATAAGGTGTGTCTCTTTGCCAGAATGATGGCATTATTAGGAGCTGAGAGAGTAACTTTGTCTACTTTTTTCTAGAGACTGGTTTCAGTAAATACTACTTTCCACAGTTACAGGTCATCCGTCTACCAACTTGCTCCTTCGCAAGTCTCAGGCACAATTCATTACTTTTTCACCTCATTCCCAACTGAATTTTTACTTTCGCGATCAAACTGCGGTTGCTGGAAGTAGTTATCATCGTCTCACTCTTAATGTCCTCAGTCCTTCATGTGCATTGCCGTTGTAGGCGGAGGAATGGGTTTTCATGGATCTACCAATCTGTTTCTTGATACAGTTAAAGCATATTGTCCTTTTAGAGAACATCTGCTAATTTTGTGTTTGTTTTCAGCTGAAAATAACTCCCCCACTTAAATTATGGTCCTCAGTGTGCCACCTTCGCTAGTGGTGAAGAAGTAAAATGCAAAATACGAAAGTACGAATCCACTTTGGACAAATCACTTTGGCGAACGTTTGAGAACGGATGATCGTGCATACCATTCGGTTGGCTGTTTGAAGTTAGTTAAAGAAGCAGAGCGGTTTTTCCGTTATATTTCCATGTTTTGCAGCTTGTTTCTCCAGTCTCGTCAAAGAATCAGACAGCCTGCAACACAGCCGATTGCATCGACAGCCGTCGATCCCTCCCGGAAGGGTATTGTGTGACAACGACAGCTGTACGCAACAGTACTGAATATACTGGGCACAACCAAAACAGAACTGACAATGGTAGATACACTCACATATGCAATTATTGCGCTAAAAACTTTTCTGCTGATACGCGGCTGAAGATTCACTTGAAGAAGCACACTGACATGAAACCGGATAACTACGAAGAGCGCAGTAAAAAGTTCGGAAGAATGGAAACTTTACGGAAATGTTCTGGTGAAAAGCCGTTCGGATGTATTCAGTGCCAATTGGGTTTCAGGCGAACAACTGATTTGCAAAGGCACATGTTAACTCATACTGGAGAAAAGCCATACGACTGCAAACAGTGCGGTAAAAAATTCACAAGAGCAGGAGATTTGCGTGTGCACTGCAGAATTCATACTGGTGAAAGGCCATTCGGATGCAGTCACTGCAATTCGAGCTTCGGACGAAAAGATTGTTTGAAAGTTCACATGCTAACTCATACTGGTGAAAAGCCGTTCGGATGCAGTCAGTGCAATTCCAGATTCGCGCAAAAAAGTCATCTGAAAAAGCACATGCGAATTCATACTGGTGAGAAGCCGCACAAATGCCAATTTTGCGACAAGAGGATAAGTGACCAAAGCAACTTAATTCGGCACCAGAAAATCCACTCTCGGAAGAACCAAACGTCCTGCGTTGTAAGAGCGATCATGCAGAATGCAGCTACTGAGACAGTCTTAAATTCAGAAAAAACGTGATCGTCAAGACTACTAAAATCGCACGGCCGTCAGTGTCGATATCCTATTTTAATGATGCTATTTGTATGCCTCAAATTGCCGAGTGCTCTGTACCGGCCTTTTCGATTCTAAGACATTTACTTCTTGCTGGTATCCACTGCCTGTGGTTGATTTTGTGCTTAACCTTTACGGAATCCTTCCGAGTGGTCTCTTCCTTTCCTGAGCGCGCCATTCACTAGTTCGCGATCTTCACTGTTTGTCAATAAGGCGATAAACATTCACTACCAATCGGGAAAATGTGATCAACAATTTTTGACGTATAAACAATGTATTTCAACTTTTGTGTGTTTTATGCAAGTAATTAGCATAAATGAACGTTGAGGGAGAAAGTGATCATTTCAAAATCCACATCTTCGTGTTTATTTTGGAGCTCAGTTCGAAATTGTTCTCATGCACTGAACCATGTTTTCTTCTCTAAGTATGCCACACTTTTCCCAAAAACTGAACTTAACATCTTCGATAGTGCAGTGCTTTTGCGTTGATTCCTCCTCCTTACCTATGTGCCGCAGGCTGGATTTGGATATTGTAGAGATAATAACAACCTTATCTTTTGACATTATTTGCTAAATTTTTTGCTCTTCCTATGCTTTTTTATATATCGAATAATAAATTAATGACACGCACCAAGGCTACCGACACATCCGCATGTTCCTGGTTGGTTTCATGAAGCAATCATATTGTTGGCGTTTAACATTATGCTGGAAATGCTCTTGTTTGTCTTTTTTTATGGACAGAGAGTTATGTCCAGAAGGCTCTTCGGTCCTTATAATCATCGTGAGGCGAGGATGTCGGCAGTTTTGTAACCTAAATTTTTTTGTCATACCTATTATGTGAGACGTAGACGCTCGTAAATTTCGATGCACTACTTGTGGTACGCACAAAATATGCCAGTATTTTAGTAAAATTACAGTTTTATTGCCAAAAAAGTGTATAACAACAGTGTTGCAATATGAACATTTGATAAGAACATACGTAGAGAATTCTGTGTGCAAAACTTCACTTTTTCTTCACTTTTCATGACAGCAAATCTGTCAGCGTTTTAAGTTTGCATGACACAACACTTTTTCGACTTGGAACTTGCTTTGCCCATTAGAGCAGCGTGATAGAAATCTTTTGGTCCCACGTGGCCAGGGAGCATTCTTGTGGAATTTCAGATTCCAGCCCCTTTTTTCCCCGCCTTTTTTTATCTAATTTTGTTACAAGCATATTTACCTGTGATCTAGGAATACGCAAACATTGATTTCAGATCAAGGAAG